ACGTGTTGTCCTGGGCCAACTCCTCAGGGCAGGCAGGCTGGTCCCGGGACTTGTGCAGTCCTGGGGAGGGCTGGGCCTGGGTGCTGTGGTGCTGGTGCCGCTGGTACTGCACAAACATACAGACCTTCAGCCCAATGGCCAGCATGTTCTTGCCCATGAAGATGCTGGAGACCCGGGCGTCCCTGAAGAAGACCATGTTGCTGCCTCGGATGAAGATGGTGGTGATGTTGACAGTGAGCATGCTCAGCATGGGGTACAGCATCATCCGGTGTGGCATGATGCCGATTCCTTGCATGCTGATCTCACAGAGGGACACGCAAGGGAGGACCAGGAGCAAGATGTAGCAGTAAAAGAACATGATGCCCTCAGCCCAGAGCGGCAGCCCCTTCTTCTGGGGCTCCCACAGGTTGGCCTGGATGTCCAGCACGTCCAGCATGTCCACAACGACCCAGAAGAGGCGGTTGCGGAGATCTTCTTTCTTCTTAAACGTCCTGACGTACTCCATGTGCTCCGTCGCCACCAACAACACGTAGAGGGCTGGGATGCAGATGGAGAGCAGCAAGGTCAGCGCTTTGCGGGCTATGAGATCCAGGCTTTTCCGGTCAGCTTTATAGTTCTGGTATACAAAGTAGACTTTGATCTCCAGAACGAAGACGTACAGGAACCAGAGGATCATGGCGTAGCCCCGCTTAGCTGTCTTTACCTCTGCCCCGACCCAGATGGCCACGTAGCGGAGCACCAGCAAGAAGCACACATCACCCACTGCCACCATGACACAGATGCCCAGCTTCCTGGAGCCCTGGCTCTGCTCCACCAGGTAGGCATCCATGAGGACAAGGCTGGTCATGATGAGCACAGTGGAAAGGCACACATGGGGCTTGCTGACAGGTGGTGGGGGAACCATCCTGCACAGAGGAACAGGCAGGGCCATCAGGGAGTTGCTGGGATTCCCCGTCCCCACCCTTGGCCCCCCTTCTGCCCCCCCACCTTCCCCAACAACTGTGGATGGCTGAAAGAAGTGGGAAGGGGGTTCATAGACCCTTCTCCCATCCTATGTGCCTGGTTTGTTCCAAACCTGCAGACTCCTAGCCAAAGTGCTCCTGAGACTCCTGGCCAGGCCATCCTGGTGGCACATGCTGGCTGAAACCCAGCTCCTAGGCTGCGCATGGGGATATGGTGGGGCAGGCTGGGCAGCCTTCGAGCACTAGGGATGCTACTGCCTCTTCAGTAGCTCATCACGCTGGCTAGTCTCTGACACTGTGAAAGGTACATGCCTTCTTTTTGGGATTTCCCAGCCAGTGGCACCAGTTATATTCTCCCCCCCCAAGGCCCACAAGACCGTATCTAAGCTTTTAACCCAAGCAGGTCCTTAACTGCTATGATCCAGAACTGCTTTCTTTTTAGGCTCCTTTATTTTCATGCACAGCATGAGGCAAAGGATTATTTTTAGCCTGGCTGGCTGTGGGGTGGGAGGGAAGAAATCGGCCAACATCTTCAGTTTCCTTCAGCCTCACACTCCCCAAGAGCTCTGCCTACAGCTGTTTGCCCGTGCCTACCCTGCCCCAGCACGATAAATTGAAAGCAAGGAAAAGCAGCACCAGCCCACAGCTCCAGGACACAAGGAGCTCTGCAAGAGGCCCTCAATTTCAGCTATTCAGCAGAGCAAAGCACGGTCCCCGCACCCTGCCTGCCTTGGACGGCACCGGGGCTGTCAGGCTCCCTCCCCCTGGCCAAGCACAGCTGCGGGCAGCTGCTGCCAGAGATGGAGGGAGGATGGAGCCAGGGCCTCGCCGGGCACGGCTCGGCAGCTGCTCTGGAGGGGAG